CACCCGGGAGCTTTCGCATGTATGTCAAAGCTACCATCGATGCCACCAAATTGGGAGGGCAGGAAAATCCTATCAACATACAGCCCTCTCAGCGGGTGAAGGTGATGAAATGTGTGAGGCCCTGATGACCTAATGTATCTGTACCACCATGTCCGGTTGCCATTTGATTTGGCTGGGCCCAAGTCAGCAGGGGCGGGGACTGTGTTCTCATGTGAAGTTGCCCACAAACGATGATATTTTTTGATTCCAATCCATACAAAATTAGCTAGAGCAGCTGTAACAAGCCGGGTAGACTTCAGTGGGCCACAGGTCCTTGTGTTCATTTTTTTTTTTCCAGTCTTCACCATTAACTTTTTTTGGCACATTTTTGTGTGTTCCTCCCTGCTGTCACAACCAGCATGATTGTATAGAGTTCATTTACTGTAGATCATTTACATACCAAGAGTTATATTAAAGAAGAATGCACAAATGAACATGTCATAATTTTTGTTATAATAAATATAAAAATTTACAAATATTTTCTGCCTTCTGGTATGTCTATACAAACACACATGTGCATGTGTATAATCTGCAGGCTTGACAGTGAAAAGTTCAGATTCTCACATTTTTATCACAATAGTTGTTGATAAATAAACTAACATTACCCTGTCCTCAATATTAAAGAATTACCATATTGGAAAGAGGAAAGCTACTCTTATTTCAAGAGTGAAGAAGATAGTATTTTGCTATCAAGAAGAAATTGTGGAAATTGCCATGTTGCCAACAAACTGGGAGTACAAGAATAAATGGTGAAAGATTTGGGTTCAAAGCTGCACAGAGCCATGATGCTCATTAAATGATCTTGGGCCAGTTGGTAGCATTCAACACATAATTACAGAATAAATGGGCCAGAATCCTTGAGCTTCTTGGAATACAAAACTGAGTATAAACAAAGTTAAATTGTGGAAAGGGCATTTAGTTGCATGGGAAGGATTGAATGAAAGTGGGTTGGTTTTTTCCCCAAATTTATGCTCAACATCCAGTTTTACTTTTGTTCCCAACTTTGTCATACACATGAGATACATATGAGATAATGGAACAAGCTTAGAAATTTGAAGTGGCAAGGAGGGATCAAGGCATGTTGTAAAAGACAGAAAGAGATACCAGTTTTCTGTGGTGTGAAAGAAGACTCTAGTTCACAGGTTTCAAACTCAATTGCGTCATGTGACGTATCACGGCGTTTTTTGCATATGCGGAACCGGAGGTGGGGGTGGCCTGCACATGATGCATATAGCCCATGGGCCGCCAGTTTGACATCCCTACTCTGTTGAGTAATGCATGTAACACAGGGGAGTCGAACTCGATTTCATTGAGGGTCGCATCAGGGTTGTGTTTGACTTTGGCGGGGGCTGAGTGGGCGTGGCCAGCTCGATGTCACTCGTCAAGGCTGTGTTTTCAGCTGCAATAGGCTCCTGCAGCCCTCTGCCAGCGAAAATGGAGCTTAGGGCAGCTGCGCACGGCCCATCTGAGCTCCGTTTTTGCTGTCAGGCACCACGGGCCGGTCCTTCAATGTTTATAAAAGGGATAAAAGAAAAAATGTGAAAGACTGGGAAAACAGAGAGAGAAACTGAGCAGGGGACAGAAGGGTCCCTGTAGAACTTAAAGGACTATGCTTTAACAATGCCAAGGAGAATCAATTTTAAATGATTTAAAGCCTGATATTTTTCTAGGGAATTTTAATTTCAATCCAAGCATGTTATATATTGCATGGAAACTATTCCCCTGCAGGAGATGAATGAAGATAAGTTTATGTTCCTTTTTCTTTTGTGCCATGATGATGTACTACACAGAATCAGCTTCATCTATGTTAGGAATGAGTTACTGCAGATCTGCTTCTTTTTGTGTGACAAAAGAACAGGGATGTCAAATGCTTAGCCAAACACCGTAGCGTGTGGTCTTGTAATAGCAGGTAGGGTTTTATTTTAGATCGACAATATCGCTACGCACACTGACAAGATGACCTGCCCTGGAGTTTCATATGAACGATGGAAAATTGGAGAGGACTGAGGCTGGAACCATTCTGCCACGCAATGTTTCTATTCCCCAACAAGAATTTCTACTGCCTACCCAGGAAGATTGGGGCTTTTATATAAAGTAGCCACAATCCCTGGAGGCAGCTAAAAAGAATTCTGATGGATGGTTTAAAATCTTTTCGAGGAAGAAAGCAAGACAATGATGGGACCATTTTTCCCATGTAAGTTCTGCAGTGGTGGGATTTAGCCAGTTTGCACCAGTTTGGGAGAACCGTTTGTTAACTTTCTGAGCAGTTTGGTAAACTGGTTGTTGGAATAAATCATTAGGGCAGAGAACTGGTTATTAAATTATTTGAATCCCACCACTGAGGTTCTGCCACAACTTCATCCACAAGGAATGGGCCAGTCTGATCTCCATTCTACGCTAAGGAATGAACCCAGAGTGGATGGGAATCCATGTCTATCAAGAGTCTCCCCAATACAGAAAGACTTTGATGGCCATTTGTTTGACAACTTTTAAGAATTACCATAGAGCTGGTTAAAGTGAACCCATCCTTGCACTTATGACCGCCACAGCATTCCTGTGGTCACATAATCAACGTTCAACACTTGGCAACTGGTACATAATTAGAATGGCTGCAGTGTCTTGGGATCACCTGATTGCTATTTGCAACCTTCCCAGGAATCTTCTAAAAAAGCAGTCAATGGGGGAAGACATATTCTCTAAACCACCACTTTTATTTAATGACTAGCTTGATACCCATGCTTCGCTATGAAACTATGCAGTTGGGCTTAGTTTTGGGGGAGGAAAATAAGGGCAAATAAATTATTCCGCTGCCTACTAGCATCCATCAGTATTCAGCTGGCTAACGTCCTGTTTGGAAACTGAATGAGGAGTTGCTCTGTGAGCAAGGCGACAGCAAGGAGCCTGGGCGTGGCTTAGCTCAAGTGTTCTGTATTAAAGCTGCTTGGTGCTAGGAAACAAACTCCTCTGCATTTGGAACAGATTTCTTTTCAGGTGGGGAGGGGGAGTAGAACTTCACATCAGAGTGTGTTAATAATATGCGAAATACTAATGCTCTGATGGTCATTTCGAAAAATCCTTTCTTAGCATCTAGAAGCCAAGAGTGCCAAATTTCAAGTTTGTAGGCTTTACAGTTCTGGAGATTTTGTGAAGATGCATGAGTGATATTTCGCTTTATATCTATCTATCTATCTATCTATCTATCTATCTATCTATCTATCTATCTATCTATC